TTCAAAAGTTACTCTGCACCTATTAACATTTTCAGCCTTCCTGGGTGTGTGTGCTTTACAGTTTGAAAGCTCAGGCCCTTTTCAGGGCTAGTCCTTCAGAGGCTTGAGCTCCCACATAGCTTTCCTCAAGCATCACCCTATTACAGTAGGGACAGTGCTTGTTATAAGGGGACTGGACTTGACTTGTTATAAAGTCACTGGACTTTAGATCTTTTCTGACCTGGCTAAATGCCATGGTATGGCCTGTGCGTGCCTTTCCAGTCACTAAAAGTCTGCAACTCATTACTTTTAATACAGTAGCACTGAGAGGCCTCATTAAAAAAAAAATAAAAAAATCCAGCCCTTGTGGTGCCAGGCCCTTGCTTGCCCCTCAATGGCCAAGCCAGAGGCAAGCAGGGGCAAATAAGCTACAGAAGCCACCAGGCAGGTTTGCACTCCCCAGATACTGGCTGAGATCCTATTGCCCCCTCCCCTTTGACTTGTATAGCCTCCTGCATGCCAAAAACATTTCTGTGAATTTCATGATAGAACTACTGTTAAAAAAAAAAAACAAAAAAAAAAAAAAAAAAAACACAGAACAACAGAGCTTGACTTGTTAAAAAAATAGCCACAGAGGAAGGGAGAAAAAAATAATAATTCCTGAACACAGTGGCATCTGTCTCCAGTAAATGGTACTTTTTCGGGCCTTGGGCTCAGCCATCTGACCAGGCTGCGGGTGGATGGATTACTGCTGTCAGCTGGGCCGTTCTCACCGAGGCTTTAAGCCCAGACACCGTACCTGCTGGTTGCCAGGGGCCAGGAGCCTGCACACGCCGGGAGCGCCGCGGCTCGGCTCGGCGGGCACGCAGGCGCTTGTGCTGCCTCTTTACCACCTGACGTGGCACAGGCTCATCCGCCCCCTGGGTCACGCTTCTGGACTAGCACCCAAGCCCTTTCACCCCCCAAGGAACATCTCTGAGAGACAGGAACCTAAGCGAAGCGCCGCTTATCTCCTGCGTGCCACAGGTGTGATGTCATCCCCTCTGGCCAAGGAACAAGGATGTCTACAGCCTCTGCTGTGCAAAAATGCAGGAACTGAAGTTAACATGTCTCAGATTTTGTTAAAGTATGGTGATAATTAAGAACTATAATTACCACTACAAAGTTAATTCCTCCTTGACTTTTTACAAACAAGTTTTTAATTTGCACCAAAAATTTACATTTCAGATTTCAAGTCAACCACGAATGGCTACAAGCTTGGCAGGGGACTCGAGGTGGTGGCTGCTGGGGTCTGCCAGGCTTGGGCGCAGGAGCACTGTGGCTTCCCAGGAATGTCACAGGCAGAGAGTCCCCAGCAAACCCCAGGTGCACACAGGTAAGTTGATCAGATTGCTTTAAACTGTCTCATCTGTTGTACAAGTGTGAAAATAATAGCCGTGTCAGATAAACTTCTGCTTTTTATTAAAAAAAAAACAACACAAACCACCCCACAACTTATAAGGTAATTGATTGCTTTCTGGTAGCCTTTTATTAGTTGTGATTAAGGAGATATAGTAGCCCTGTTTACACAGCTCTAACAAGTCAGGACCTGCAGTAGGTTATTGGCTTGCGGCCCACAACTTGCAGTCCGTTCTCAGCAGAATCAATCTGAAGTTGAAAACATCCCCTGTAGGAAGCGTTCACATCCCTGCTTATACAGGAACAGAAAACAGTAATAACTTCAGGTCCTGTACGTTGCAAGTTCAACTCACAGAGATCAGCCCTGACTTGTCATTGCTCTCAGCATGTTCGTGATGAGATCAGAGTGCTCCACAGAGGACTCATACTTCCAACTTGACAAGGGACATAGGTGAGCGTGTTACACTTCACTCTTACTCCCAGCTCAGACTGCAGAAATAAATCCAGAGCTCCTTGCTGCTTAACATGCAGTCAAAGCACTGCCAATCTAAAATGGCTGATCAGTAATACTTTAATTGCAGTTTCATAGAAACAAATTGCTATTTAATTGCAATAAGCTCTTCTGTGGCTTAGCTGGACTGACAATAGGCATACACCTGGTACCAAAAGTAACACCCAGCAACAATGGTTGTCTGGTACTTCATGTACAGGAGGCTCAGGCAGTGAAATCAGACCTGGAACGTAATTTCACACTAAAGAAATACAATGCTTAAAAAAAATAAATTTTTATATCTATGTACATAAATGTTCCAGTCTCAATATTGTTATTCTAATAGAGCTGTTCAGAACACAGATCCTTGCAAAAAAAGCCTCATACTTGGCATATAACTACCCATCAAAGAACCTGATAAAACAATTTAAATTAAAATGAGCTTTTGAAATACCTGACGGTACTTGATACTAAGTCATACTACGTCGGTATGGGATTCTTTTTTTCCTTTTTAATAGTATTTATCCTAAAATTAGATGATACACATTTTATCAGTGTTAACAGGGAAATAAACTCAGTGTGGCTAATATTCTAAAGATGTGACTTAATTTTGTAGGCTTCATTTTGGTAGGACATTCTCATTTTATATTTTGTAAGATATAACCTGTTAAAATATTTAAAGATAAATCATGTAGGACTGAAAAGACAGTATCTTGTTGCAAACAGAATTTGGTTTGGAAAGGCTTAATGTCCCACTGCTTGCTAGGATGCGTAAATCTCGTAACTCGACAGCTGGATAGGTAAAAACATTAAACTCATTTAGAGGGCAATCTTTTTACAAAATTGTTTCATTAATAAGAGTGACAATTTATATGATTGAGACGTTTAGATGCAGCATAGACAGAGTATTTTATCCAGGTTCACAAGGATGATTTCAGATTAGTAATATTTCCTTTGATTTTTTTTAACAGCAGTCATTTTTGAAAGTCAGGGAAGCTCTTACTGAATGATTATTTGTATGACTTTTCAGCAGCACTAAATGCAGAGGGTGTATTTCAGCCTCAGTGCAGTAAATGCATGTGATAAAAGGTGAACAAGTATATGTTTTTCCTTAAAGATCTCCTAAAAAATAAAAGTTATTTTTTTTCATGTAAGGACAAAGCTAAGTGTTTCCAGTAGCCTTCTATCCACACCTAACATCCCCATTAGAGCCTGTTTTATTGTCTGAAATGCCTCTGGTTTCAAGAAAGTGTTTTACCTAAAGCAAGAATACTACTTAAATATGTTCTATTGTATATTCATAGCTCCATTAGTCCTCCTCCAATTTAGCACATCAAAGCAAAGGCTTCATCACTTGCATGTGGATTATGCTAACATGAGTGACATTTGTAATCTTATAGGTCTGCAACTTAAGAAATGCTTTTAAAGTAAGCGATTAAAAAGGTAGTTGTGCTTTACAAACGAGTCATATAATAGTTTATTTAAAGCTGTTAATGAACTTCAACCTCTATATCACTAAATGCTATACTACATTACTTACTAGAAGTTATTAGCTGTCTTCTTAGGGCTTCTAGGTTATATTGGACAACTAAAAATCTGTACATGTTAGATTTAACCACTGTACCTTGACTGCTTATACTGAAAGAGCATAAAAAGATGCCTACAGTCTCACTAATACTTGAGTTCTATATTCATACGACTTCAAGTGTCATTTCAAAGACGGCGAAGCAGCACAATTTGCAGGACTCTACCTAAAGACGTTAATGCCAGATCAAAAAGCTTAAAAACTTATTTAAAAATATGTAAGTGCATTCAATTAAGAAATCATACATAGCTTCAGTCATTTTATTGCTTCATATGTTATGCAAGTATTTTTTTTGTCTTTACTGATACTGTACATCACGACATTGACTTTTCTCTGCGACAGACCTATTTTTCCTCAAGCACTGAAGTGTTAAAAGAAGAAATTCAGCAAACCTCCAATATACCAGAGGTCAAGCAGTAGAATCTGAAAAAAAAAAAAATTAAAATCTGGTTTTGGTTGCTTAGACAGACAATTCTGTAGATCAGCTTTTTGTGTATCAGCAGCACAACAAAAAGAAGTCAAGCTCACTCTGTAACCAAGCAGGCTGAACAGTGAACACCTTCTCAAAAACAGAGTTCAAAAAGAAAACATAATCATGATGTATTTCAAATGTATTGGTCTCCTGTAAAAGTAGAGTAGTTAATATTGATTTGTTATTAGTTGTGGCAGAAGCTTGTTCTAGGTTTCCTGACTGAAGGCATACTATGCACAGCCATAGATTCCTGTCAGTATTCTTGCGACTAACACGAAAAGTCAGATTCTTTTTTCCTCAAAATTATTCTGCACAGTTCCACCACTCAGCAGCTGATGGGAGAAAACCACTACATGAAGTTGCTCCTTTTCTAAACTTAGAGGAGGCTGTGTTGCTGGGGGAGTGTGTGGAGATGTTTGTTTCCTTTCAGAGAACAGATCGTATCTGAGAGGAGTTAGCTCTCGCCAACAGCCTGGGAAACACTTTTCTCTTTCCTCAAAACTATCCGTGTTGGAAAGTTAAGTCTCTTACCACAGCAGACACAACTTTAAGTTGTTCAGCTCAGAATTGCTGTTGTATTCCTTTTGATGAATACTCAATTCTAGTGCTCAGCATGAGGTACAGACCTTTAGCTGGTTTTTATTTTCTTATGCTTTGACCTCTTAGGGTATGTACATACGCTCTCAGACTTGCACGCTCAGGCACATGCACATCCTTAACAGATGATGCTGCAGAGATGAACGGGGTAGAAGGAGACCACAATACCTATACACTACCATAATTCACTGCATTATGAACTGTAATGTATTTACTGTTACCAGAATTAAGAATGTCAATGAAAAATAATTTCAAAGTAGTGCTCTGTATCCTTGCCAAAAGTAAGGTAGTTAAGTAGTTTAACAGATTCTTTACTGGCATAAGACAACAAAAAAAAAAAAAAAAAAGCCAGCCAAACCAAAAAGATACTTTTAAAGGTAATGACTATGTAAGATATAGTTTCAGAATAATGTTTTGAATGTAAATTTTAAAAAAAAAAAAAGGCAAAGCTTCTAAAACCCATACTCGATTCAGTGTTGTTTGTTTTACTTTTTTATTATTTAAATACACCATACTAGAGCAAATGTCTCTGAAAATATCACAAATAAAAGATCTTTCTTCATTCAGCAAATTAGAAGTAGGTGAAAATTTCTACACAGTAGCTGCTATGAGCCTGACTTTTTTTTTCTTTTTTTTTTTTTTTTTTTTGCCATGGGAAGTAGCAACATTAGGACAAAAACACTTACATGCATACATACATTGTATTTTACAGAGATACAATAAAAGTGTTTGTGATAGAATATCACAAAAGCCACATCTTTATCTCATGTTCGGTTTGATTGAAACACATTTCCTTACAACACTTAAATATACAAAGAGCAAATAGAATGTTGTTAAGGTAAAACACAGGGTACAAACTGGCCAGTGCCCTGCTAATTGTTAATGAGGGTAGAAAGCAGATTTCAATGCTTCTTTTAATTAGCTTCATTAGTCATCTTCCCCACCCGCCCACCCGCCTCCCCCCAAGATGTCCTCCGGTGGATCTTTTTTCATTTTCTCTACAATCTCCCATTAGCCCAGGTTCATGGAGTCCTTAATGTTCATATTCAGTCATTTTAATACACCAATAAATGTGGGAAGGGCAATCAAGAATAAAGAAGGTGCAATGGTATGGAGCTGGCATTGATGCTAGCTACAAAGGTGACTTGTCTACTTGGAGACATGGGATCCATCTGTGATGAACAAAATTTGAGATGAAGGCACGCATTCTGCATTACTCTGACCTTTTAGCAGACCTGTAAGAAATAAAAATGGGTATCTTAGCTAGAACACTAAATTTGAGATAGGAAACTACAACATGACTGCTTTTGTCTTTTCGTTATTCACTAATCTCTTTTTTATTAGATTACTTTCCAACTGTGACTTGATTAAGGCTTTCTACACTATCCATTCATACTGCTAACGTTTCAACTTCAAACAGCAAAAAGCAAACATTTTCTGTGGTTTCACTACTGGAGAGAGCAGACGGGGGCAGGGGGAAGAGCCGACAACAATAAGTGTACTTTCTGGTAACCAATCGTACAGTGAACCAGGGTTTTTTCTGGGCCCCTTTTAAAAGGGAAGAAACATTACGCCGTGCCTTTGAAGAAGCTAGCAATATGATCTTATAATTGGAAGAAATAGCGTGTAACACAAATAAGAAATACAGCCAATATCCTCCCAAGGCAACTTTGGTTCATATGCTGCATTGCACAAGAGCTAAATATAGATATTTCAGAATTCCCACCACCTCCACCCCCCATTTAAAATTCTTCATCTGGTGTGTTAGTTAATGTTACATAAACATTTTAATATATGAAGTCAAACATGTGCTTTCACACTGGTGTTAATGAATTGTGATAATTAAAAGTGTCTAACTCAATAAAAACCTAAACTTTCACGGATAAAGTAGAAATGATCATCCATAGTCTTCAAATACAATCTGTTTGCAATTACCAAAATGAAATAATATATATTAGATTTTTATGGTTTTTAAATGACATTTTGCGCTTCCCAGGAAGTTCTTTTTTCACCCTTTCTCTAAGTTACTAAAAGCCTGAGGTCTATTAGTAACTGCAACCCCCCACTTTCAAGCTAATTAAAGTAGTAGAGGCTTGGAGGTTTAATTCCCCAGAGCTGAAGCTCAGTATGAGAAAGGTAATTTGTCTGTCCAGAACAAAGATTAGGGAGCAGCCAGCAAGCATATTTAATAAATGAGCATCAAATATCTTCTACTATGGACACAGACAACACCAATTATGTAACTACAAGGGAATTGTTGAGTGATATGTAAACTAGAAGATTTTTTTAAGATCTTCTCTGAGAGACGTAATCTGACTCATACTTTATTTAAAACTACAGAAGCTGAAGACAAGCGTTTGCTACCAACATTCCCAACCCGTGGAAAATTTACACTCGAGAAGTGTGGTGGTAATACTGTTGCAGACAAGAGATACTACAGGAGTACTGCCACTACCAAAAGAGCACAGAGAATTCTTGACAACACAGCCCCTCCAAACGCAACAGCACGCAGGACATCACAGACTAGGAGTCTGAATTCTGCAGGCAAGCAGCACCAAGTTCAGAGGAAACAGGGTTCTTTTCCAAACTGTGGAGCAAGTGATGGGAAGTTACAATTTACATGTGCAAGCTGCCTCAGGAGGCATAAGGCAGGAATAGCCAAGAGGACTGCAGCTGCCTCCTTAAAAAGAAAAGGAAGTTTCTAAACAAAGTTGGGTCATGCAACCCTTCCTGCCTGCACCCATCACCAGTAGGTCCTAACCTGTAAGCTACAGTAACACAACAGTGAAGTCATACCTCTTACCTTCACATGCACAACAAAACTGTTTCAATGCTGGGAGTACATCTCAATCTCTTTCAGCTTAATAAAAAAAACCCTGTGACTATTCTGCTATGTCTGTAACCCCTAGTGGCTGAATAACTTGGGGACTGATTGATCTTTAATCTTTAGTAAAAAGTCTTTGTTACAGCCAACTCTGTCATAGCAGCAGAACACTTTTAATTAGTGGCCCTAAAACACACAACTTTCTGGAAAACATCTCTGATGTAAACGTCGTCTTCAGACTGTTAAAAACCCAACATACAAAACGCAGCTCTTTGGCACCTGCCCCCGTCGCTTCCAGAACTCCAGAAACCTGACCAATCTACAAATTATCAACTCATCCCCTCAACTATATTTGTTTTCTGGGGTCCAGGTGCTTTGCAATTCCCCTCTGAAAACTGGTAGGAGAACATACATAATTTTGTAGAGAGATTAACTTTTAAAGGGGAAAAAAAAAAAAAAAACAAAAACAAAAACAAACCACCTATAATGTCTCTCCCCAATACCTCTCTTCAACTGCCTCAGCACTGACCGTAGCAATGCAATTAATAGTTAGTAACAGGAACTAATAAAAACCTGTTTTCTCTGCATTTAGCTTCTACCAGGTGTCTACAGTCGTAAGCTCTGCCAGCCCAGTCCAATTTTGCTTCTCTTTTCCATGTTCTATGTTCCTCATCATGTCTACTGCTTTTATTGCAACTAAATCATTTTTATGTTTTGCTAAGGCATAGTAAGAAACTTGTAAAACTAAATGACAATTTAGACACCTATTTGAAGTTACATTAAACTTTACATTCGTAGAAGACAAGTGGATAAACCACTCTCTCAGCACGGTAAACCTTTTACTGCAGTGTATAAAGATGAATGGTTTTACCTATATTCTGAAATGGGATACCTACAAATATTCATTCAACAGCTTCACTGCTAGCTACTCTATATTACAGATTTGTTTCATTAAAATTCACAACAGTATAAATCTATGAATCTTTAACTGTATTTGTACTTCCTTGAGAAGAGGCTGCACATTCTCCTCCAATCTTAATTATCTTTGTTCTGCCCAACTATATAGGACTTTTGTACTCAACTCTCTCATCGCCTCATTGACAAATTAAGTAAATAAAAAAGGCCCATGCTTTATTTGGATGTAATTACATTCACTGTGTAAGACTTGAAAGAATACTTAAAATTAATCAGTAAATTTATGCACAAAAAAAAAAGCAAACAGATATTGAAATGTAGCAACACAACACACACACACAAAAAAATAATCACGAAAATTAAAAACCAGTTTGTGTTTTCCTGGCTATATTTCTCCACTAACTAAAAGCACCAAAAATGTTCTGCATGTTAGATCAGCCAAGCATTTGTCCCAGTTTTTCTTAATCTTCCAAATTCCTATTTGCAGATAAATGTTATTTTTTGTGATCCTTACAGACATTAATGAAGTTCCTATTGTAAATCTATAAAGAATTACCAACTGAAGTGTGCACTTTTTGTTTCATTGCAATAACTCAGTGCTGTGTGATTGCCTGGGTTAATGATGAAAAAGTCAAATATACTATCAGAGCTGATGGAAAAATCTATCACCAATCTGAAATTAAAATTCATCTGTGGTCAATAAGATTTAATATCCATAGCAAGTGGTGCTGTAAAGAGTAAATGAATCAATGTCATCAATACATAATCAGTATGAAATATGATGTGAATAAAATTATGTGCAAGAGTCATACATTCACTCTTTTCTGGTCCAGGGTGGAATGAACAGTCTCTTAACTCAAGGTTGACAGTAATTGTTACAAATTAGGCACAGCAGTTATCAAAATGCACTCACTTGCATAGCTTTAGGACTTATTAAGGAGATTAAAATAGATCTAAAACTATCTAGTTTCAGAGTTACAGGACAACTGTTGATCAGAATGATTTTTTTTTTTTTCCCTTTTTCTTCTCTCTATGATTTGTACAGTCATTATTTACTCATTTAGCTAGAAACCAAGAGCTATCAACCACAGAGATACACCATCTCCACTTGAGCTATTAGTGTTACGGAGCGATAAGAAAACAGCGCTTTGGTTTTTAAATCTGAGTTATGACATACAAAACGGACAAGAAAATAGTTCTGAAAGAGTACCCCAGCATGCTTCCTCAACTGAAACGTTCATATGAAAGTAAAACACATTGGTTTGGTTCAGAAACCTTCTCTCTGCAAGACATTTATTTCCATATCGAAGGATCTAATTTTCCTCTCACAGAAACCTGCTCTCTCGTAGCCCTTGACTTCCGGATGATATAAAATGAAATACTCCTCTTTGTTAAGAGTTTACACTAACACACGCTCTCCAGCTCGCTCTGTACACAAGGAGTTCAACAGCTGTATGGACGCACGTGCCCAGAGCAAAATAAACTGACTTGCTCTCTATGTCAAACTTAAAAGTCTAGTCTCCTCTCCCCATACCCAATGCCTAAGTTATTTAGGGTAAGCTCAGTTATTTAAAGGTCTCCTTGCAGGGGAAGGGAAAGTCCGCTATTAGAACGAAAAGAAATTGATCTTCATTTAGCTCTAATAAAGCTTATTAGTAATTGTGGAGTATTCACCTTCTGGTCTGGCAGTAGTGGATTACTCTGAAGTGAATTCAAATGGCCATTGATGAGAGCTGTAGGTCTATCGTGTTCACAAAATAAACTGCCATTGATGTAGTGAAACCGATCTCCGGGGACCAGGCGATTCCGGCAGGTAGAGCATGTAAAACACTGCAAAAGGAAAGAGATAGCAAGTGAAACTACAGCACAAATTAAGTATGCTGCAGGTTTGAGAATTACACTTTGGAGACTGCAAGTACAGTTGAGATATGGAGCTGCTTGGTTTCTAGTATCTCCAAATACGACATTAGTCTCACCTGTTGGGACTCTGCAGTACATAACTCAAGTGCAGTTCTCCCGATTACAAGGAACAAAGCTACACACTGAGGGAAGCTTCATCACACATACTTGTGCTGCCAGTGATTGCTTTGCTTTTCGCTCATGAGCAGATGCAGATTTTATACTGAAGAAGCACAGCAGTACTAATCAGCTACCGAAAAAAATACACAGAAACCACCTCTTACCTTAAGATGGTAGACGTTGCCCTGTGCCCTCATGACCAGTTCGCTGGCAGGAATGGACTGTCCGCAGGCACTGCAAGCACCACTATTTCCAAATAACCTGAAACAGAGGTGATGATCGTGAATAATTTAATACACAGGAGGCCCCATGCATTTTTGCACATCACTGCAATAGTTTACCACACAACTAGTTTAGGCTTCTGACCCCCACCTCCCAACTTGCTTACGTGTCATAATATCAAAAGGTGTATTTCTGTGTAACAACAACTGGTGGCTTCACCCTGCCTTGGATGTGGCTACACAGGATTTAATCAGAAATATTGACTTACACCTCTAGAAACACAAACAATTCTGTAGTACACACATTTTATCAGATTACTGGGTCCATCATAAAAAAATAAGATACAATTCATGACTGGAGTTTAAATGCATTGTGTCCTTGAAATTATATGAAGAACTCTTTTGTACTTTAATCATATCTTGAGATATGAGTCATCAAAAGGGTTAAGAGGATTTGATTGTATATCTAAGAAGACATCATGCTCGGTGTATTGAAACTCCGGTAAACCTCCATCAGTGCAGAGTTTCCATTAGAAACTCTCTGCTATCCAGGTTGATATATAATGTGTATGGGTTAACCTTTTCAATCATGGTGTCAACACTTTAGATTTGCCTCTGCTCATCTCTTTCATCCTAACCTTCTCTCTCTCTTGATAATGAAATGCTTGCTCCAACTTCCCTCTATCTGCTCCTGAGTCCACAATTTAGATTACTTCATCTCTGCTAGCAACAAACTGAATGAAATTTCGATTTGAGCAGAAAGTAATTTACCGGGATCTGGACCCATTTGTCATCATATCTCTCTGGGTGTTTGCTGTATCACTGCAGTTTTCCTATGCAATCAAATGAGACCACAACATCTGCCATTGGGGGGGGGCACGCGCAGTGGGGGGAGGGGGGAAATAGGCAGAAGAGTGGTGAAGAAAAATATATACATAATTCTTCAAATTCATTTAAAGGCACAACGCATCGATTCCAAATAGAACGCAATAATGATTATCGAGTTCTACGTTTACAGGCTGTGTTAGCTGGAATTAGAAAACCTTTATTTGCTTTTGCATGCGTCTCTAAATATACACAAATATTTATAAAGACTACCACAATCGTTTTGCAGTAAAAAGGGAAACCGAACTAGCTGGCAGGGTCACAGACCCACTTTTCTGCACGATGTAAAACATAGTAATAGGATTTACAAATTAGCGTATTGGTGTCATAATAAATATTAATATTTGCATCTCCTTCCTGTCCAAATAAAGTCATAGAATTCTGTTTGTGTCAACCTAGGAGACGCATTACAACAGAATACCCGTAATCTGAATGATTGCAGTGTGCCCCTGTATAAAAATAATTGCTTTGCATTTTCAGAATCTGAGCTTGCAGAGGAGGCTTGTCATGTTCAAACTACTAATTTGCTGTCGCCACTTTATTGAAAATAGCCTGTAAGTTGTTATTAAATGTATCGACTGAACGACAGAGAGAGTAGTAAAACTGCCCCTTAAGATGGCTTTTAATAGGAAGCTGAGAAACAAATTTTGCAGCAGCATCGATTTGAAGAGTTCAATCAAAACTCCATTTCAAAACTAATTAGTCTGAGATCCACAACACATTGACACATTCTTGCAGAATCACAGTGGTTACAAAGAGAAAGCTGAACTAATACATCATCAGGACCTCCAGCCAAAGGGACTAAACTGTCTGGAAACTAAGGGTCCATTATTAGGGCATCTTCTAAATCGGGACCAGTTCTGAGGAGTTACATGATGTATTGACGTTACTTCCAGAGTGTTAGGATAGGCGTTTTTCTTCCTCCGTTGCTGCTCATAATGGTGTTGGCACCTAGGAAAGGCGCACGGAAGCGCTGCGGGAGGAGGCAGGAAGGCACTCCTGCTCTCCCAGAGCGAAGACCCAACACCTTGCGTAAGGGGGTGGCAACAAGGACACGGCTGGGTAGGGCAGAGGAAGAAAGGCAGAGAGGAACAGGCAGTGTTGCGTGCCCAGGAGAATCCAAACCTGGCGAGCGCTCTGTGGCAACACCTGACCCATGCAATTGCACCACCCAACTGAAAAGGCAGCTCTCAGAATACTGATCTCATCCCACTACTTGTCTTCATTAAGCATTCATCTGTTATACAATTCTCCCTGCCTAGAAGTGGTCCTACGCCTTGAGTGTCTCTGAATTCTAATAAACTGAGTCAAACTAATCCAGAGGCTTTCCGTGCACCTTGGGGTTTCCCCAAGCACGTTCCCAGAACAATTCCGGTTTGGGAAGTCACTTCGGCTGAACCTTCTGCTGCTAAAATTCCTAAAAATTACTCGCAAAGTCAGAACACTTTCCTGCTGCTATGTATTATTTACCAGGAAAATTAGGCTTATTTTTCCTTCTCTACTGTTATGAATGGTTTTGTTCTGTAATACCATTACAGGAAAAAGGTTTTATCTGTTAAAAAAAATGTTATTCCTCCTTACCCATAAAGGAAGTCTTCCACAGTAACTATTCTTTACTGAAAAAAAGTTGTTTCACATGGTTTCCGCGAGGCTGGAGAGCTAATTATCTAACCAAGGGGACTGTCCAGGACAGTATTTGATTTAAAAGGCTTGAGGCTTTAGGTGCTCAATTAAGTAGCGATCGGTCTCAGACTGGACTTTAATGGGCTCTTTTCTCTTTAACTGCAGCAATGGGTAGAGATACCCCAGGTCAGGCTAATTAAAGCCAGGGGACTCTTTAATTGTGATGACAGAATTGGTTTCAGTTTCCTCTTTGGGTCCTCAGTCCAAGAAGGTCATTAATATTTCAACATTTGGGCAATGCAATCAATCACAAACATCAAGAGGTTCCCTATATGGACAAGGCAGCTCTTCTATACTCAGCAGCATTTGACTGAGCCACCTTAAATTAACTACTGTGTGGTTCCAACGCAGCATTCCCCACACCCTCAAACACCCTTGGGTTTTGGTGGGTTGGGTTTTTTTGGGGTTTTGGGTGGGCTAGGTTGTTTGGTTTGTTTTGTTTTGTTTTCAGAACTTTCACAAGAGTGTGAATGAAGGCTGCAAGAAATCTTTTCAAGCCCATCTTGCTCCTCAAAACTCAGTATCAGCAGAAACACATCTCTAGCAACTTATACTAACATAATAAGGTTCCAGCTGTTTCCAAAATCATGGAGACAGATCGAAGTGCTCCAATTCTTGCACAACATGGTGCACATTTGTGCCCACAAGTATGTACCTCCAAGCCCTAGCAAAGAGAAATGCACATCCAGACCTGCTGATCCAGAACCAATTGGTCTTCCTGTACCTTCCCTATATTTAATCTAAATTCTGCACCAGCTATATTAAACGTAACAAAGGAAGGTAACACAGAAATTACGCCTGGAGCCAAGTCCATTAAAGGTACTTCAGAATAACTAGAGACCAAGCACCTTAAAAGCACCAGAAGCTATTGATACTTAAAAGGGGGGCTGTGCATAATGGCAAGTGCTGCATTAGAGAAGGGGAAGAAAAAAAAAAAACACAGCCAAATTACGCTTGGTTAATTCAGAGTAACAGATCTGCCCCCAAGTGAATTGGAGGCCTTGAATTAATTCTGTTATGACAAATCAAGATAAACGTTCCCCCTAAATTGCATGCGATTTAATTAATTTTTGAGATCCTGTTTTTTTTTTTTTTTTTTTTTCCTAGCTAATAGTTCACATGCTCCTGCGCTGTCATTGTGCTTGAGTGGGCAGACTTCAAAGTGATATTAAATAACCAACTATTAGATTTACCTAGCACGTCCTATTGGAAAAGTGCCATTTAATTACCTAGCCTGTTCAATTAAAGGGACAGCATTCCCTGCATATAGCAGCTTGCCGCTGATTACCAGG